AGACTGCATTTCTATGCAATCCTGCATAAAGCAGGATTAAAGTTAACTTAAGGACGAGGGACCCAGATGATTTAGGGATTCTGAAGTTTGCATGGGTAACAAGTTGAGCCATTTGGGCTGATTCACTGATGAGGGTATTCCAGCTATGGGCAGGGAAGATAGACATAGAATATTGTTCTAGGCATGGAGATTCGCAGCTTCTGCGTACTGTCTAATCAGGCAGCAGACCATAAGTGTACATGTACGCATGCACGCGCGCGCGCGCGCGCGCACACACACACACACACACACACACACACACACACACGAGAGCCACTGTTGGAGGTCAGAACAGTAGAGTGGCAGGATCAGAACTAGGATTTGCAGTGAAGGAAAAAAAAGGGGGGGGGGGGTGAGATCAACAGATAAGTCTCCCAGGTTCCAGCTCACCTTTCACGAGCCAGGTGGACGTGGCAGCTGAAACTGAGGCTTTTGCGTTGCCTACCCCTAAGCCCTGTAATACTGCCTGGGTGGCTAGGGAGCCGGAGAGGCTGGAAGCAAAGGCCTGGAGAGAAGAGAAGTGGAATGAGGAGGGGTCGCAGAAGCACGGAGATTACGGTGCTATACCAGCTCTCACTGGTTCTGTGGGACCTGGAAAACTGTCAGGACTCTGCAGTGCACCCTAGCCTTCTAATATGCAAAAGCAGATTGCAGGGGCCTGTTCCCTTGGTCCCCGGTCATAAACTGCCCCCCACGGCAATCGGCCGGCCGGACCTGCACGGAATCCCATAGCTGGTACGGCAGGTAATCCGGGCTGACGCTATCTGGGAAGCCCTGAGGCAGCAGCACGGATCTGAGGCCCGAAAGAGCGGTCAGTGCTGCCCAGAGCCCCCCGCCTCCACCTGCGTGCTGCCCAGGTTTCGCTATCGGAGCCCGGGAGAGCCAGCCCCAGCGTCGAGCCCCGTCCCACTGCAGGCTCCCATCCGCCGCAGCACTGCAGCCGCGCGGGGCTCCGGAGCCGAACTGCTCAGTGCACAGCGGCGCCCGTAGGCTCGCAGAGTCAGCCATCCCCAAGCTCAGCGACTCTGTCCAACGCGGCAAAAAACTAGACAAACTACATTTCCTGTTTGGCTACGGTGGCCGCAGAGGAGCAATAATCTTTTGCTGTCTTAGAAATCAGATTATTGTGTGCCGTGCCTTCCTGGGACACATCCCAGGACTGCACCTGGCCTGTCTAACGTTCTTTGGACCTTAGAAGCAATATGGGGGCCTGTAGACTTCGAATTCCAATAATCAGAAGAGGAAAGGTGGCTTCTTGGAGAAATAGTTGCGATCGAGACTCCACTCAGATCTCAAACTTTTAGCTGTGTAACTGAAGAGTTTCTCTCTCTGGGTCGCAGTGCCTTTTTTTGGCTGTGAGGCCAAGGACAATACAGTTTTTGAAAACATTTAAATTAGCTTGTGACTTAATGAGCTTCATTATGGCATTCTAATGCACATTTTGTTACTGTTGTTCTTATTTACCACTCTCATCCCCACCTTCTCTCGCCTGACTCCTTTGTAGACACCCACTCACCCACCCCACCCAACCCCTCACCCCATGCTGCTTCTATGTCACATGATCTCTATCTTCCTACTCTCCTTAAGATCCCTTCTTCCCTCCTCACGGTCACACACACACACACACACACACACACACAAATTCCAAATCTATGACTTGCATATGAGAGAAAACACGGGACATTTGTTTTTCTGAAACAAGTCTTAAACCCATTTTCCTGCAAATGTTATGATTTCACTTTTCTTTATGGTTGAATAAAATGTCACTGTAATTCCACATTTTGTGACCCAGTTGTCTCCTGATGGAGATCCAGACTGATTCCGTTTCTTAGCTGTTCTGAATACTGCAGCAGTAAACACACATGTGGAGTCCTTTGGTGTATGCCTACAGGTAGAGCTGAAATCCTATGGCAATTCTAGTTTTCCTTTGGGTTTTCAGAGCAGCCACAGCAGTTTCCATTCTCTCCGGGAGCATAAAGGGTTCTTTGCCAACATTTGTTGTTATTTTGTTACTGGGGAAACTAAGGTTCCCATGGGAACCTCTTAGGCTCTTTAATAACAGGATTTAGAGGCTTACTAGTTACATGCTCCCAGTTCTTCCAAGATATCAGCATCTGTTTCCAGCACTTATGTCAGGTAGTTCAAATCACCTCTCTAATTCCAACTTGAGGGGATCAGACACCCTCTTTCTGGCCTCTTCAGGCAAACACATGGATGTGCACACACACATTATTTTTTTAATAAACTAGTTTAGAAAAGAAATAAACAGGAATCTTGAGGACAGTTTTATTAGTTTAAGAGGGAAACAGTACAGATTAGGTAGAAATCCTGGCAGTTAGCAGGAGGAGAAAGGGAGGAAAATCATGCCTTTTAAATTAGGCACAGGACAGAAGTAGACAGCCTGTTAAGGAAGAGTAAAAGCTACCAAGAATGGAAGTAGGCTAGAACAGAGGAAGGAGCCTAAACACATCCAGCCAAGTACTGTGTGGTCATTCACAGCCATCATGTAACGACCTCTCCAAACACATAACACAAATGGCCCCCTGACATTGCCCATTCCCACCCCTCGAGAGCATGCCCTCCACAACTGTCTCTTTAGCCACTGCTCACCCCATCCCTTGTTGTTATGCGTTTAACTCTATTTCCTACACTACATTCTGTGTGTCTCACCCGACTTCATTTACTAGAGAACACAGGGCTGGGGCACTGAAGGGAAGCCAGAGCAAGATGCAGTAACAACATCAACTTTGCCCTTCTCTCTCTGTCCTTTGCTACCTAAATCTTTGGCTTAGACCATTTCTGACCAACTCTGCATGCAGATATATTAATCATTAAAAACTATTTTGTCTAGAACAAGGTGGATTTGACTTTCACTTGCTTACTTCTCTTCCCTTCCAAGGCCAAAGACATCAAAATTAAGAGTTACTAAACCAAATAGGGCCACTGGAATGGTACCAGGAAGACACCAGTCTTTAGGAGGTTGTTTTAAAAATGTCTTCAGCTGTAAGATCTTTGTTGCGTGTGGCTGTCAGCTCTCTCTTGCGTGTGGCTCTGCTTTCCTCTCTATAAAGCCTTTCCTAGCACCTGCCAGTTTTTACTGGCTTTAGCTTTTGTCTCCTTGGCTTTCTGGCTTTCCAAACAAGCCCTTTTCTTCACCTCAGTACTTTTCCCTAAGTGGTTGGCGTTTTCAAGTAACTAGTAGACAGTTTGGTTCACTAACAACCCAAGAAGTGACTCTCTGCCCTCCAGCTTTCTCTGCATTAGGATGTTATTTCTAAAAGGCCCCTAAGGATGCTTGAGGGTAAGAACATCAGATGTTGCAGGACTGTGTCAGAAGACAGCATAAGCAGGGGGAAGTCCTCGAGTTTCTTCTCCTGGGAGAGCTCTGTGAGTTAGAGTCCATGCCAGAAGGTCTCTCCCCCTCTGAGCTTATCTATTTTTCTTTGGCCCCATTCTACTTCCCGTCAAGTTTACGGAACTGGCCCCAAAGTAGGAATTTACCAAAAGCATCTTATTCTCCTTTAGAAATAAAACATGGTTGTTCTTTAGCCTGGAATTCTTGAACACATTCTTGGCACTCTGCCCCCACGCCATTTGATTCCAGTTAACGACTCCACTCTGTAAACTTCAGATTCCCGAGGAATTCCTGCTGGCTCCATCACAAACTGTGGCTGGAATACCTTCCAACCCAAGCCACCGTATCTGACCCCACACAGAGTCTGTCTGAGGTGGAGATAAACTAACACTTTTATGAAAAATTTGTGTTTCCGGGAAGAATGAAAAAATTACAAGCCAGTTTCGGTGAATGAATTAATTCACCCAGGAAACTTACTTGAAACACAGGTTTATAACTGTGAGATCTTGGTAAAGTTAATTGTTTCTCTGGCATTCAGTTTTCCCATCTGATAAATGGAAAATATATTACTACATACCAGAAAGAGTTAGGGTGAGAGCTAAACAGATCTTACGTGTAACAGTCTAAGCCAGATTTGGCAAGTGATACATACTATTTTTATGTATTTATTTATTTATGTGTGTGAGAAAGAGAGAGAGTGTGTGTGACAGAGAGAGAAAGTGACAGAGAGAGAGAGAGAGAGAGATATGCATACACACCGTAGTGTACATATGGATATCAAAGAATAACTTACGTGGGTTCTAGGGCTTAAACTTAGGTCGCCAAGCTTGCCAGCAAGTACCACTGAGCTATCTCGCCAGTCCTGTATATTTGCACATTATTTGGAGACAGTGGCAAGTATTCAGATTCCTTTGCTCCACTGAGGCAAAGATATAACTTCATTGGAAAAACTCCATTACAACATATCCTTCACTTTCTAAAAGGATTTTTTTATAATAAATACTTAATACATGCTTGAAAAAGTGTCTGGCATATAAGAATACATGTAACATAAACTTCTTTTTTGAGAACAAGGTCTTGTTTGGATGTAGCCTGGGATTGGCCTTTGACTTGACTCTTCTTCTTTTACCTCCTTAATGTGAGATTGTAACCTGGCTTCTGTTATTAATATGGCAGCTATTGCCGGGCGGTGGTGGTGCACACCTTTAATCCCAGCACTTGGGAGGCAGAGGCAGGCGGATTTCTGAGTTCAAGAGTTCGAGGCTAGCCTGGTCTACAGAGTGAGTTCCAGGACAGCCAGGGCTACACAGAGAAACCCTGTCTTGAAAAAACAAACAAAAAAAAGATTAATATGGCAGCTATGGATTGGAGAAGCAATGCCATTGTGTTTTGTATAGTGCGATAGTGCCCGTTACCTAATGTTAGTTTCCTTAGAACTTTGAGACTGGTTGTAGTGTTGTGAAGGAAAGGGCAAGCATATGTTCCTGGTTTGTTTCTTACATTTTCTGTCTTCATTTATCTATTTTTTCCTGAGGTCTATCTTTCAAACTCCAGGGAAGCCTCACCACCCACCTTCTCCACCCCAGGATGACCTATCACTCTCCTTCAGAACCTCGAGGCAGGGCGTTGCCTTCTTAAACTAACTCCTGACTCTGCCTGCATCTAGCTTACAGCAGAAGACACACAAACCCCGAAGAGTGCGGGTGAGGCAGACAGCACCGTTGGTTGGACTTAAAGGTGAGCCCGAGGTGGTGAAAATGTAACTTCTAAGCAGAGCAGGACTTAAAAGGTTTAAGGAAAGGAGTGTCCCTCTCGGATATGAGGGATGTTTAACAGGGGCAATGGGGTGGCAGTGGTGAGAGAGGGGAGGATATTCAGGAGTGAGGGAAAAGTATAAAGTTCATTTTTCTTTCCCTGGCAGATGGCCCCTTTTCAGACCAATAAGGATCTGATCTCTACAGGAATGAAGGAATTTAATGTTCTGTTGGATCAGCAGGTAAGCCGGTGCTCTTTATTTCAAGGTCAGAGATGGAGAGAGTACGTGTTAGAAGGGCAGAGCAGGCTCATTTGAAACTGTAAGGCAATGATGGCATTGGTCCAAATATCTGGAAATGGGGAATGCAAATCCAAAACAAAGAGGATGTGAACGTCTGTGAGACCGTCCTGGTCTCTGCATCTCTGGCCACATCCTCCCTTGCCAACTCTCTCCCTTCTCCCCTCCCCTTCCCCAGGTCTTTGAAGACCCTCTTATCTCTGAAGAAGACATGATGATTATAGTTGATGACTGGATGAGCTTGTACACCAATTATTACAAGAAGCAAGTGCTTGGGTCGCAGCAGGAGCAAGACAGTGCTCTGAAAGAACTTCAGCAAGAGCTGAGTACTTTGGGCAGCCAGTTTCTAGCCAAATACAGGACCTTTCTGAAGTCCAAAGAGCCCTCAAGCAGTAAACTGCCTTCCTCATAGCCTAAAGGTTCCAGGCATTATGTCTTAGAAACCCAAACTCTTGGCTCTGTGTTATATCTTCAGACCATTCTCCCATGATGTTGCTGTATTTTGACATGTCAATAAAGACCAATACTAATTTGTTGACTCCTGGCTCTTTCCCCCTTCGTTCCCGGATGTGGGAGCATTCGATCTCTTTTTCTTAATTAAGCACCTTTTAAAAATTAACTTGGAGATTTAGTTCAGTACAAGAGAGGTTGGCAGCTTTATGAAAATACTAGATAATGCTAGAATAAGATGTATGTTCAGCCAGTCAGAGACTAAAGAGGAAGTTCTGGGGTAAGGAAGGTGATAGGAAAAAGAACAGCAGACAGAAGTCCTCCATAAACTGCGATCTCCTGGCTTGTTTACCTAGCAAGAAGCCACTTGCTATGTACGACAAACACATCACAGTGAGTACAAAACTGCCTGCTTTGTTATAAACACATAGACACACACACACACACACACACACACACACACAAATGCAGATGATAGCATTCTCTGAAAGCAATTCCAAGTGCTGTCACTACATCCTGATACAACTCAGACCATACTCAACCAGTGAAGCCAGCAAGCACCAAAGGATTCCCATTTGCTTTGACTTTTAAAATGCCACCAGTAAAAGGTAAGAGAACAGCTTCCAGGCCAAGCAGGGCACCTCCTTTCCAGCTCCTTGTGATTGTTCACTGAATGTGCCTAAAAATGCTTCACCAGGCTTCAGAATATGAAGCCCACTCCTTCTCTGGTTCCTCTGTTGAAATCTGGCAGCTTGAACTGTCAAACCCTTTGCAGTTTCTTCCGATGCTCTGAAAGAACTTCCCTCTCTGGAATGGTCAGAAAGACAGGATGCACAGTGGTTGACTGGAGTGCTAGGGAGGTTGATAAGAACACCTCACAGAGAGTTGAAGTGGGGCTCCGCCCACCCAGAGGAGAAGGGGAGGAGGAGATAGGGGAAGGATTGTGGAAAAGGTGATATCGAGAAGGGCAGTGAGGGGAATGTAAAGTGAATAAGTAAAAAAAAAAAAAATTAGCCGGGCGGTGGTGGTGCACACCTTTAATCCCAGCACTTGGGAGGCAGAGGCAGGCAGATTTCTGAGTTTGAGGCCAGCCTGGTCTACAGAGTGAGTTCCAGGACAGCCAGGGCTACACAGAGAAACCTCGTCTCGGAAAAACCAAAACCAAAAAAAAAAAATAAATAAATAAATAAATTTGAAAACAAAACAAACAAATAAACAACAAAAAAAAAACTCCTTCTGAAGTTACAGTTCCAGAAAAAGCCTCAGACGCCCTTAAGGAAGAGGTTTCTTCAGATTTGGGGGATTTTTTTCTTCCAAGATGTTCTTGCTGGCATTGTTGCACTAGGCTTCTCCTAGCGCATACTTCCTCCCTCACCTCCACAAAATAAAGCTTGCTTTGATTTGGCCATAATTTGTGGTCAATGGGATTAACAGTACTAGTTATACATATTAATGAAATGCACCTTTCCTGCCTGCATTCAATTTCTAATAGAAAAAAAAAAGAAGAAAGGAACATAATAGAATTTCCTAGTCATGATGGAAGTCATAAGCACAGAATCGTAGAAATAATGGTGAGAGTGTAGTGCTTCAGATGTCAATAAACAAATAACAAATATCATGTTTTAAGTGCTTTTCCTTTATTTCATGGCTTTGCATCCTTGTGACCAGTCCTCCAATGCTCCTGGTGATTCTGAGAACAGCCTAGTCATTAAAAAATAATAATAATTATAATGCTTGCCCAAAACAGCCAGTTTCCTTTCTTAGATACAAGAACAATTACATGAGAATGGGAAAGGTAAGCATCCATCGAACAGGCTGCATGTATTCTATTATTCTTTTATTAAATAATATATACAAGTTTTTCTATTAAAGAAAATACAGATGAATCCATTTGGAGTTTTGTATCACGACCAAAGGTAAATAAATAAAACTCAGATGTGAGACAATATGTGTCCACCTTTGTCTTCTGTACCTACCAGTGGTGGTGAGTTGGACATCATTATTTCATCCTTTTCCTTTCTTTCTTTTCTTTTGTTTTTATTTTTCAGGACAGGGTTTCCTTTGTCTAGCCTTGACTGTTCTTGAACTCACTAAGAAGACCTCTAATTCAGAGATCTCCCAAATGCTGGGATTAAGAGCACATGCCCTCACTGCCTCGTGAAATCATTATTTTCTTAAAAGCACATTTGCTGGAGTGTGTATTGTAAACAACAGAGACCTGAGGTGATTATTTTGTCAACCAGTTTTCCAACAGTGAAAACATAACGTTCCTTCCCAACCACCCCTGAGCATTGCAAAGGAAAGAGAGGCAGACAAGCTTTCTGGGATGAGAAAAGCTTCTCACCAGCTCATCTCCGTAGATGTGGTGCTATTCCCACACCTCAGCCTCCTGTCTCAAACAAACACACAGTCAAGCATGAGACATGGAGAATTAAAACGTAAAAAGAAATAATGCATAAAGTAACTACTCTAACGCTCAAAAATGAATAGATACAAATACTTAAAGGCTTTGAAAAGGGTTTCAACACACTGTAAGAGAAAAAAAAAGGGTGGGGGGAGAAAAAATAAAGAAAAAATGTGATTTTTAGCAACTCAAGTCTCTGGCCAGACACTCTGGCCCTGCCTACTCACTCTAGTCCAAAGGTTTTATTTATTTATTATATGTAAGTAGACTGTAGTTGTCTTTAGACACCCCATAAGGGGGCATCAGATCTCATTTCGGATGGTTGTGAGCCACCATGTGGTTGCTGGGATTTGAGCTCATGACCTGTGGAAGAGCAGTCAGTGCTCTTAACCACTGAGCCATCTCACCAGCCCCCAAGGTCATTTTCTATCTACCAAGTTGCTGAACACAAGCCTGTAAAGAGCCACTCAGTAGCGCTCTGTGTATGTTTCCACCAGATGCTGTGGGATAATTGATAACTGATGTTTCCAGTTCCCTTTTTCTAATAAAAGAGATTTAATTATATTGTTACAGAAATAACATGCCTTCTCAATGAGAAATCCCTCCATACAGAAATGAAGGGAAACTCTTTACTTAAGCACCTAGTGCACTGGGACTAATGCCCAGATAAGAGTCAACCCCCAAAAGATTTCATTAGCTCCTATACATCTTAGGCTTATGTAGTCCACATATGTTGTTATTCTTAAATCTCTTTTGAATCTGGCCCCAGGTTACATTCAACAGTTTAAACAGAGACAGGAGACTGCAAGTCTGGCCACTTAGGCAAATGGGAAATTTACACAGCAAAGATATTATGTATTGCCAGAATTATTTTAGGTACCAGTGTTCTTTTCTGATAGCTGTTACCTAGGTTCATCTTCCCCACCTGGCAGAACTATGCTCTTCTTGATAAGAACACAGGAGACTTAATGGCAGATGAGGATTATTGATGGTTGTGACCCCATGCACACTATCCAGTGAGCTGCCAATCAAGGGTGTAGATCTTTGGTATGGGAATAGAACCTAATGGATGGAGAATCCAGGTGAATAAACATTTACATCCTAGGACCCTAAATTTCTCTTATCTTCAGCAGGCCTGCTTAGCAGACTACTTACCCTTGCAGTATTTTTTTTTTTTTTTTTTTGGAGGCAGAGCCCCTTTGGCTACATTCCACTTGTGTGACTTAAGGTCTCCTAAGCAAATCATCAACGTGTCCTTTGTAACATCAGTTTTATTGTTTTGAGTTTCTTCTACATCAAGTTTAGGCTCTAAAAGTTTAGGTTCGGTGGGAAATCTAAGAGAGTAATACTGATTGCTACATTGTTCTCCTAAGGGCAGGTTAAGCAAACAGTCTGAGTACACAGTAGCGAGGCAGTCTTAAGGGACTTCCAGGTGTGTTATTAACTCTGGCTGTGAGGTCCTACAAAAGCTCTTGTCTGTTAGAACGTAAACAATGATTTCAGAATATCCTGTCACCGAAGCTACAGGGAACAGAAGCATCCGTGCTGAGTTCCAAACTCAGCTACCTTTCTGAAGAAATTCTATGCCCACGTGTGTTTTGGCTTATTTGATTTTACCTCACAATTTAATTTGATTAAATTTCATCTGGAAACCAGCAAGCCCTCTCGATTGTCCCACCATCTTTACCCTCAGGTCTGCAGACACACAATCTCACTTCCTGGCTCAGGACTTCCCCTGAATGCTGCCACGAAAGCAGTGAGCATCTCAAAAGTATTTTAAATTGTTTATTATTGTTGTCATTTATTACTAATAATCAAGTATTGGCTCTCTAACCTTTACTTTTTTTATGGTAAGCAAGAAGAAAAGGAGACAGGCCTGACAGGCTCTCTCTGCCTCTCTTCCTAATGTAGCCATGTTGAATGAATCCTTTCCTACTTCTCAGCTATCACCCCTCAGCCCCCTTCCTACCTCCTGTTCCACCCTGCCCCTGCATTCCCTGTTTCTTTCAGTTTTGCTGACGTTTATGTATTGCTGTGATATGCATTCATTTCTCTGAGAGAGGGGCTCCCTCTGTATTCCTGCTAGGCACTGGCCAGCAATCCCAAACCTAATTAGTAGTTGTTGCCTCAGATGAACACGAGGTGGCAAACGCTCCCCTTAACTTGGGAAGGAAGGCGGTGGAGCACAGCACACCCTGCTGGTTACGTCATCAAATCTCTTTCTTTTTCTTTTTCTTTTTTTTTTCCTCTTTGAATTCCCTACATTTTCTTTACACTGTATACTTTCTGTGCTTTTTTTCTGGAAACAAATGTGGTCTACAAAGAGATACCCTCTCTCTCTCTCTCTCAAAAAAAAAGACAATAATGGTAAAATTTAAACAGCATCATAATAGATGATATCTAATAATGTCACTGACCTTGGAGGAGAGGGATGTTTCTCCATCATGGTTGGTTTGTTTGCATCCCGGAAGAGGCACCCCTGTATGCTGTCCTGGGTTTTGTCTCCATACATACCTACATGTACTTATATATTTATTATTTACTTACAGGAAAGGGACAATGACAGAGAGAGAGGACACACACACACACACACACACACACACAGAGAGAGAGAGAGAGAGAGAGAGAGAGAGAGAGAGAGAGAGAGAGAGAGCGCCTTTATCCACAAGGCCATCTTTCCTACT